TCTCTCTCTCTCTCTCTCTCTCTCTCTCTCTCTCTCTCTCTCTCTCTCTCTCTCTCTCTCTCTCTCTCTCTCCTTGTTGGTAGCCACGTGGTTAATTTGTGCTTCGTGCTTATGCAAACTCGGTCGTTGTGGTGAACTTGGTGTGTCTCGCTGTGTGCTCCATGCTACGTGAAGTTGGTGCTAGCTACGTTGTGAATTGGTGCTACATGTACTGGTGCAACTGTGAATTGGTGCTACGTGAATCCGTGCCCTTGGTGAATTGCTGCACATGAAGTGCGGATAGCTATGTGAATTGGCGCTGCCTCCATAAATTGGGCTCTGACTCCTCTCTCTCCTCTGTCAGGCTGAGCTGCACGAGTGAGCATGGTGCTTCTTGCTTTGCAATACAGTACGAGGGCTAGAGGGACTGGAGAAACGGGGAAAGAGTTGCAATAGGAGGGGGAGTAGTCTAGGCTGGTCTATGGACTGTTGGCTATCTAATTGCCTATACCTTGGATCATGAATGTCAATTCTCGTTCTCTCTATTCATTTCTGTTTGTCTATGGGCTGTTGGCTATCCAATTGCCTTACGATGTATTTTCTCACAGCTGGCGGGCGAGAAGAAGAACTTAGCTCGATTGCTGGAAGAGGAGGTCGCAGCCGCAGCAAAACTTAGGGTGAGCTTCTCAAGTTTTCTCAACTTGCAATTTTGATTGTACGTAAGAATCCAACAGACAGTGTATTACAAGTGTCGATTGACATTCAATGTGGCTTTTCCCTTGCTTTCTTCACAAGTAAGTTTGTTTTTGCATTGCAGTCTTTTATGTTCGCATGGCGCTTTTCGTAGCTTTCTGTGGGGCCGAAGCCTACTGTCCCCTCCCCAGTGGAATGCCAGGAGTCATGTGTGAATAAGAGATAAGCGCCTGTTGCCAGGTGCAGTACTGTCTGTCACAGTGTCTGATGATTCAAACAGGAACTCGAGGCCTATGATGGAGTTCACGGCATTCAATACTAACTAGCATCAGTCGTCATTGCAAAAGGACGGTGATGTAATGGTATTATGGTACAACTCATAAGCCTGAGTGTAGAAGAAGCTCTGCAACCTTCCTGTGCCCCTGGGGTCGCACCAAAATTACATTGCTTCAATCAGGTGATCCCTGAAGAATCGAGTATGAAATTAGTTTGTGTAACATGAGTATGGGCCTCGCTCCAGTGCACAACACTCTACAGGCATTTGGACACTTTTCTGGACCTGTTACATTCACAATGGTGGACTCGTCCGAATGCAGCCGGTTCAGGAAGCGTCCAAATGAATGTAGAGTGTTGTGTAGTGGAATGACGCCCTATGAGTGCTGGTGTCCGTAAGGAAGGCAGTAGTGCAGGGTATGTATCGGAGGAGTGGACTGGTGGTTTCGGCTTGCCTCGAGTTCTTTGCCTCACAAATGCGTGCCTTGCTCCCTCTTTGTGTGGTCTGGAGGGCAACCATTTCGGTTGATCTGAGCCGCATTTCCTGTTGATCAGTACTATCACAGTGTTTTGTCTATTTCCAGTTTCTGCTCTCCATGCTTGCCTTTATCTTGGGTGCTGTCCATTTGATCGGCCAATTCTAATATTGTGATTTGGGACAGGCTGCAAACATGGACCTCTCTCGCAAACTTGCAGCACAGACACAACGGCTAGAGCTTGCTGTTTCACAGAACATGGTGAGAGGGAATTCGGAGGCTGCCACTCAACGATCGGTCGCACATGACGTGGAGGCTGAGGCTGACCAGGGTCTTGATGAGGGTGATGAGGTGGGCATTCTTCTCCACAGACCAAGAAACAAGAAGTGAAAGAAATGGGAAATGGGGATTCAATGATTCATAGCATTAAGATGACAGTGTTGGCAAGGGAAAGGCACATATGCATGCAGGTAATACAAATGGAAGATCGTGGGCTTTAAGATGGGAGTAGGGAGTGAACGAGTGCATGTGCGTGCGTGTGTGTGTGTGTGTGTGTGTGTGTGTGTGTGTGTGTGTGTGTGTGTGTGTGTGTGTGTGTGTGTGA